TTTTATGAGATTTCATGTTTTGATGTATTAAAGATATTTCATTTTGAAAGTTTAGTGGCTCTTTCTTTCACTATTCTATATTTGGATGATTATTGTGTTTATTTCATTTATGAGATGAAAGTTAAGTGTTCTTCGTATGATTGTCTGTTCCCGCCCCGTTATTTCAAGCTAACTAGGCCGGTTCGTGACATATTTCACATTTCTCATGCTAAATTTTTTTCATATTTACATTCAAAAAAGAGATGAAATATACATTGTAGGGTCTTGAAAAGGGAAGCTCTAGCCTATAATGATATTACCAAATGGCTTATATATTGGGGGTGAAAATGAATGAACATGACAAGTAATTTTTGTCTTCAAGAAGACATAGCCCATCATTTTCTTTAACTTGTTCAGTCATCTTTCCTGTTGTGAGATATTGAAATATGTAATGATTAGCAAAACGTATTACCTTGCAGTTGTGATCTTTAGTGATTTTATTAATTGATAGATGATTACCATATGTTGAGAAACTTGCTTTACATTACTTAAGGTAAGTATGGAGGACACTGAAAATTTCTTTGACTCGCAATAATTGTTATAGATTTATCGACCACTTTTATTATTTTATTGTTGGGGCAATGTTTGAAGGTTTGAGTGGAATTATTTAAGGCACATAAAACACAATTGTTAAAATTCATATTATTTTGAGCAAAAAGCATGATTTTTCTAGAGGATTGAGAAAGTTTCCGAGTCTGTTCATTTTTTTTAATTGAACCCTTTAGATTCTACAAGGAAGGTCTTCCTTTTTTGATTACCTTTATTTCCCTCATAGCCTAGGGTTTGTTTGTGGAGTTTTCCCATATTTTTTTTTCTTTTCTTTCTGAAATGGTTAAACCATAGATTACCTTTGAAAGAAAATTTTTGATCTTCTTTAAGGAAAGAGTATGTAGCAACAAGTCTTATACATTAGGATTCCATGGTTGCCATGGCAGATGTTTCAGAGTTCTGAGCATCGAGTATTACTGTTCTTTTTTTAGATAGTATAAGAGAAAAAAATTCATTTAATTTATGTATGAATTTATTTGAAATCATTATTGATTTCAACAAGAAACTTAAACACCCTTTATCTTTCCACAAATTGCTTGAGAAGTATCGCATCCTCGTAGCATGTCATCCCAAGACCTTAGTAATAATCTATTTCATGCTAATAAACCTTCATCATATTAAAATACTCAATTATAGGAATGTCATCTTATTTGGTTGTTGAAATCATAGTTTTGATCTTAAAGGCGAGGGTATCTTCTTGCATTTTTTAGTACTTTTGTTTAATAGCATCCCAAACTTCTTTTGTGGTAGAAAGCAACATATATGATCCATTGATTTCAAGTATCATGGTATTTGACAACCATATCATGATTTTGAAATCTGTTTTATTCATAAGGGTAAATTTTGAGTCATATTACGACGATTGATTTTTTTTTTTCCTGTAAAAAGGGTCTTCACAATTTGATACTATTTGAAATAATTTCTCTCATTCAAAACGATACGAGGCTTTTAACCTATCTGGTTTTTGTTTAGTCTGATTATCATTATTCATGATGGCCAACTCTATAGAAGGGAAGTCAAAGAAACCAGTCTTAATGAAGAGAATGAGAAGAATCTCAATTAGGAGGGAAAAGAAAAAAAAAATAACAAAGGTTGGAAGATGAAAGCCCTAATTTTGCTTTGATACTATGTAGTAAAGTAGAAAAATTTACTTTGAATTCATTTCTTGATTCTATACAAAGTGTGGAAGTATTCATAAATTTCTCCAAAAGCTTACTATGAAAATAAATTAAAATTATTAAAAAAAAAATCTCCAAGTGGTGTCAGCGGCTAAAATAATTGGAGAAGATAGACGGACTACAATCTAAGGCCATATGGGAATTGTTCCAATAATTGAAACCCTTGATCTATGTGAATGATCCCTATCAATATTGGTTAACTTGTGAAACCCATGGTTCTTCCACAATCTTTAAATGAGATATAGTATTAATTAATAGGGAAGTTGCTGATAATCCAAAGGCGTATAACAAAAATAAAATGTAAATACGAATTATAAAACTAGTGAGGATATAGTGAGTATGATTATATGAGATGGTGGGAGTAGTACCTACTGAAGGAAATTGAATATGATAGTAGGTTTGCTGTGTGCAACGAAGGGCCAAATAGTATATTTTGATGGACTCAAAGTAAAACAGGTGAACAAAAGGTGACAGCTAAAATTTGTTTAAAAAAATTTCCACATCTGAGTTAACACTAGAACTCAACGGGAACTAATTCATAAGAAAAAGCTCATCATGCCTACCTCTTTGGGATAAGGATAATTATGATGATCGTGGATGGCTATTATTATTTTTATTGATCTAATTATTTATATAGGTCCTGTTGATGATGTTAAAATTAGTAAGTAATTGTTTGAGTAAACTGTTCAGTTTATTATTAACAATTATTAGCACTTATATTTTTATAATGATTTATGTTCATCTTGAACTGTTTAGGGACATTAAATTATTCAAAACGCCACAATCAAGTTTGTTAAGTTTCTCCTGGTAATGTATTTGAGTGTTAAGGTTAAAGATTTAAAATGCATTGCATACTTTTATCTTTAGCATAAGGTTAATTGTAAAGTCTTGAATTCACCAAGTTCGGATAGAGTGAAAGGCAAATCAGGCAAGTCGTAATTATAAGTAGAAGATTAAAAACATATAGAATTAAAACCATGTTGGTAAATGTTGAAAGGCTAATTTAAGGACTTTCTGGCGTATAATTAGATTAGTGCCAGTAGTATTTTCTTTGCTTCTGTAGCCGATGTCATAGACTTGTTAATATAGACATAGACCATATTTGATATTTCTTGATCATAACTTTATGTTTAGGTGCATCTGCTGCGTGATTTGTTTATCATAGAATATGTTTGAGAAAAAAATTAGTACAGATTGAACCATTGTTTATTTGGTTGCTTATTTCTTAGAATAAATTCAATACCATTAGACTAGGAGAAAAACAATACTAAAACAACAATATCAACAACATCAAGCCTTTATTCCAGTATATGTGGTCAGCTGCATGAATCCTTTATCTCTATTTCATCCTTTTAAGAGTCAAATTCTCATTTAAATCTAATAAAATAGAAGGCCATGTTTAATGCTTTCTAACCTAGTCTTTTTATGTCTACCTTTACCTTTTTTAACATTGGGTAAGCCTAAAACATCTACTCTACTAACCGAGTTATCGAAAGGCTGGCATTTTATGTAACCAAACTATCTAAGGCAACTCTCTCTAATGTTATCTGCCGTTGGAGCTACTCTTAACATTTTCATGTATATACTTGTTTCATAATTTATCTTTAAAGAGTAAAGCCACTCATCCACCCTAAACCCTCATCTCTGCAACACTTAAATTTTATGCTTCTTTTTTAAAGGCCAACATTCACGCCATAAAATATTGTAGCTTTCTCCACCATCTTATAGAATTCTCCTTAAGTTTGAGGGATACTTTTTTATCACACAAAAGGTCCGAAGTATTCATCCACTTCAACCATCCAACTTGAATTCAATATCCCCATCTTTTTCCCCATCACTTTGATCAATAGACCTAAGATATCTAAAATGGGAGAAAAACAATAATGAAAGATAAAGAAAAAGAATAGCTGTCTGTTGTGATATGTATTTTAATAAAAATTATCTATATAATTACTCTTTTATCTTTAGTTTTGTGTCCTAATTAGCCTGTAGAAATAAATATGGACCTCTTAAAGATGGAATTCACTTCGACTTATTCATCAAGGTTTCCATGCATATATCTTTTTTTATGTAAATCGGGTTTTGAAACAGGATCGGTATAAGAATCTGATCTGGGTTAATGAATTTAAAACTATTGTGCATTTCCATGCACAATTTAACATGCTATTCCGTGATGCATGTAATTTTTTTTCCTTGTTGCGATTTGGATTAGCCATGTCATGGAGTAATTTCTTTTTTAGGCATGTGTTGGTGCTGTATTCACTTATCATGTAATATTTCTATCTGCAACCATTTGCAAAAAAAGTTCACTCATTGTATGAGGCTTCTACTAATGATGTGTCTAGGTATATCCTTTGCATTGTGGAGAGGATGCTTTCATCATACGTACCCATGACCACTAGGTTACTCGCAACAGAGCAAAATATTTTCCTGTGTCCGCTCTTGAGATTTAATTAATGATTCTATGGATTGTTTGATATTTGACCGATGAATGTGCCTATAGAAAGGGATAAATCAATATAGAATAATTGACATATTTTGGGAGATTAAATAATGGCAGATTCATAGACATGCATGGCCGTCCTGATACTAGTGATTTTTGACTTTGCCAAGAGCTTTTTTTGACCTGTGGGACTTAAGTAGTGTGTATTTTTTTTTCTTTCATAATTTTTTTTTTAACTCAGTTTTTTTATTTACAAAATTAGTATCCAAATCTCTAAAATGAACCACAGAATCCTATGGTTTTTTGTATCATACACACAAATAATTAAAAATTAAGCAAAACTAATTCACTCTGGGTGGTAATTTTTTAATATTTTTAATCATTCGGGTGATGGTACTGTAAATTCAACAATTTTGGGATGGTATTGTAAATTAAAAAATTTTGGGTTTTAGTTTTGTAAATAAGGAAAGTTTGGCCAATATCTCAACTATTTTCTCTCTTCTCTCCCCCCCTTTTCAAAGAATTGTGGAATATTTATATATTAGGTATTAATGTCATAATGAAGTACTCTGTAAACTGTACACTTATTCATACTGAATAACCCCAATAAACTTATTTTTTAGTGTTTCCCCCCTAACTTTGATTTGTATGGTTATTTATTTTTTTCTGGCCTTTGTGCATCTTATTGAGATTTTTTGCCATGGCTACAACCTTTGCCTATTTTTACTTGTTAGTTTTGATTGCCTGCATTCTAGTATTTTTGCCACTTTTTGAATTGAGTCTCTTAACAGTCCAGGATTGAACAATTGTAACGTCAGTCAAGATGAAACAACAAAAACTTTCCATGAGCTTTTTCAGTTCCCTGTTCCTGGGAGTGACCCCAATTTGACTGCTCATCTTAATGCTGCTGCATCAAGCGTAACATCAGCTGACACTCTGAATTCAGGTAGAAGACTGGAATATGTTATGCATAATGCACATTTGAGTGGCAAGAAAAAGCATCTGTCAATGGATGCTTCAGACTTGCAGAATGATTTAGCTTTGACAAATCTACCAAATTCTTCAAAGAATTTTCTTGTATCTTCTGGACATAAAGGCTTCATTGATGAAGGGTATTGTATGGAGATGGACTCCATGATCAAACCCAAACCAGGGTTGGCCGCCAGATCTATGGACATTACCCCAGAAAAACATATCCACAAACGGAAGGAGAAACATAAAACTGCATCATCCCTAAAAGTTGGAGGTTTTTGTTTTCTTCTCCAAGCTTAAGCTTAATCTTCTTTTGTTTTTGGTCTTGTTCTTTACTTTCTTCTCTTCTTTTGTCATTTACAATTTGCTAGCATTTATAGAAATTGTGTTAATGTTAGGGCGTCCCTTGGAAGCAACGTGCTGTATGGCCTGAATACAATGACAAGTGTGCAAGGGCCGCTGCACCGGCGCCCGAGTGCAGTGTTAAATAGGCAAGGGTTCCCACATCAAGGACGGATGTGGGCAAAGAAGCTAGTCCATGAGACTAAAATTAGGATTGGAACTTGGAATATAGGTTCCCTTACAGGAAAATTAATGGAATTAATAGATATTATGATTTATAGGAAGTTAAATATTTTGTGCATTCAGGAAACTAAATGGGTTGGAGAGAAGGCTAAGGAAAATGATAGTTTAGGATTTAAACTTTTGTATTCGGGTAGGAGTTGTACTAGAAATGATGTAGGTGTGATTATAGATAAGAGTTTAAATGATAATGTTATAAAAATTAATAGGATTGGAGATAGAATTATAGCTTTAAAGATTGCTGTTGATAAGATTGTTAATATTATAAGTGCTTATGCTGCTCAAGTAGGTTTGGATATGAGTTCTAAATTAAATTTTTGAAATGACTTAGAAGAATTAATACAAAAGATACCTCTTGAAGAAAGAGTTTTTATTGGAGGAGATTTAAATGGACATGTTGGTAGAGAGGTAGATGATTTTAAAAACATTCATGGTGACCATGGATTTGGAATGATGAATGAAGGTGTCAAGACCATATTGGATTTTTGTTTAGCTTATGATTTTTCAATTGCTAATACCTTATTTAAGAAAAGGAATGAGCATCTCATCACTTATAAAATTAGATATAGTACAACCCAGATTGACTATTTTCTTATTAGAAAATTAAATAGTTTAGATTGCAAAGATTATAAAGTTATTCCGAGTGAAAATTTATGTACCCAACATTGATTATTAGTTTTGGACTTTAAGATAAAGGGACATAAAATAAAAAATAAAGTAAAATAATTTTCTAGGATTAGATAGGGGCAATTAAAGAATATTAAAAAAAATATTTTTGAAAATAAGAATTTAGATCTTAAGATTTTGTCTGTGCATGAGGATGCTAATATTATGTGGGAAAAAGTAGCTGATGATATTAAAAATATTGCAAAAGATGTCCTTAGAGTATCAAAGGGAAAAGCTTCTAATAGTAAAAATAATTGGTGGTGGAATCCAAATGTGCAAGAAAAGATTAAAAATAAGAAATTTTGTTATAAAAATTAATTTAATTTTAAAAATTCTAATAATTGGGAAATATATAAAGTGGCTCGTAAGGATGCTAAGAAAGCAATATGCGATGCAAAGACATTAACTTTTAGTGATTTATATAATAGATTAGATATTAAGGAGGGAGAAAGATATATGTATAAGTTAGCCAAACAAAGAGATAGGAGTAGTAAGGATTTAGTTCAAGTGAAGTGTATTAAGGATGAAGAGCAAAAAATACTTTTCTTAGTAGATGATATTCAACAAAGGTGGATGAGAAATTTTGCTAAATTTTTTAATGAAGATTGTGAAAATAAGATTAACTATAGTGACCTTAAGCACCCTAAAGGAAAATAAAGATTTTTGTTTTTATCGGCGTATTAGTAAAACTGAAGTTAGAGAGGCTTTAAAGAAAATGAAGGGTGGAAAAGCTATTGGACCTGATGATATTCCAGTAGAGGTGTGGAAATGCTTAGGAGATTAAGGAATTTCTTGGCTTACTAAACTTTTTAATATTATTTTGAATACTAAAAAGATGCCAGATGAGTGGAGAATGAGTGTGTTAATTCCTATTTTTGAGAATAAAGGTGATGTACAAGATTGTGCGAATTATAGAGATATTAAGTTGATGTGTCATACTTTAAAACTATGGGAGCGAGTTATGGAGCATAGGTTGCGGTGGTGATACTAATGTTTCTCAAAATCAATTTGGATTCATGCCCGTAGGTCCGACTATGGAAGCCATACATTTATTAAGAGGTTTGATGGAGAAATATAGAGAAAATAAGGAGGATGTACATATGATATTTATTGATTTAGAAAAAGCATATGATAAAATTCCAAAGAAGTGCTATGGAGAGTTCTTGAAAAGAAAGAGGAGTCAATAATGCTTATATTCAAATCATTAAAGATATGTATGCAAGGCTATTACTTGTGTTCAAAACAAGGTGGATTGACCAAGTTATTTCCCTATTTCGGTTTGGATTACATCAAGGATCAGCCTTAAGCCCATATCTTTTTTGCTTTAGTCATGGATGTTCTCACTAGACATTTGCAAGATGATGTACCTTGGTGTAATGCTTTTTGCTGATGATATTTCTTCTTGTCGATAAGACTAAAGAGGGAGTTGGAGGTAAACTTTGAATTATGGAGGTCAATCTTAGAGTCCTAAAGGTTTTCGCTTGAGTAGATCTAAAACAAAAGATATATGGAGTGTAATTTTAGTAGTAATAGACCTAGTGAGGGGATTATGACTTTGGGCGATCAAGTCATTAATAAGAGTACACGTTTTAGAATCCTTGGATCTTATGTTTAGAGTGATGGGAAATAGATGGGGATATTATCAGCAAAATTCAAGTTGGATGGTTGAAGTGAGGAATGCATTGGGCTTGTTATGTGATAGAAATGTACCTCTCAAACTTAAGGAAAAATTCTATAAGCTGGTAGTGAGGTCTGCAATTCTTTATGATGCCGAATGTTGGCCATTAGAGAAACATAATACTAAGTTATGTGTAGCAGAGATGAGGATGCTCAGGTGGATGAGTGGCTTTACCCTTAGAGATATGATATGAAATGAGCATATACGTGAAAAGGTTGGAGTAGCTCCGTAGAGAAGATAAGATTAGAGAGAGTCGTCTTAGATAGTTTGGTCACATAAACGGCGGCTTCCGATGACCCGGTTAGGAGAGTATAGGTATTAGATTTAACTTGTGTTTAGAAAGGTAGGGGTAGACCTAAAAAGACTTGGTTAGAAAATATTAGGAATGACCTTTCTTTATTAGATTTAAACGAGAATTTGACTTTTAATAGGACACAATAGAGAAAAAGGATTCATGTAGCTGACCCCACGTAGTTGGATAAAGGCTTGATGTTGTTGTTGTTGTTGCTATAGAAGTATTTAAGCTGTTTTTGGGCTAGTTCTGCATTTTCATCCCTTTTATTTTATTTTTAGAATTAGCTAGCATTTGTAATAGCATGCATGTTCTCAGAAATTGTGATAACTTCTTTATATTATTACATTTCTGAGCAGGTGATTTAACTGAAAGATTGGGTAAACATTTAAAACCTATGAGCAAAAGAGGAACTGATGTAGATGGTCATGAAGTATCCAAAAAGTTTAAGAAAGATGACTCAGACCTTTCTACAAAGGATTTACATCCTAGTATTGATATATCAGGCAGAATGGCTGTCAATGGGGATACTGAATTGTTGGCAAGAGTTCATAGGAATACTTTGCAAAATTGCAGTGATCATTCTTCTTCTAAAGTTTTAAAATCTAAAAGTGCATCATCCATGAAATCCAGGGAAAACGTTAAGTCTTCTAATGGGAAACATAAAGAAATCTCTAGTGCTTCAGCAGCAGAAAAATCTGATAAGTATGATTTTAATGGTAAGAAGAGGAAACTAAAAGAGCGGCAAGAGAGTCAGGCTTGCCAGGAAATTTCAATTAGCAATGATCAGGTTTCTGGCAACAGGCCTATGTTGAAAGAATCTTTGATTGAGAGTGAGTTGAGGAGGCAAAAGATGGCTAAGATGGCAAAATCTGAGGGGAAAGAGTCTTGTGCAGTTGTTGCAGGTGGAAATTTTGAAACGAATGGTTGCTCAACAAGAATTGCCTTATCTATTAATGGGAAGCATTCTCCGTATGTAATTGATAATGAGGGTGTAGGGCATGCTTCGGATGAGCAAATGGTACATTACCAAGGGAATGCAACATCAGGACAGACTTTGGATTGTGTTGATACCTTGAAGCGAGATGTGACCTATATGAGGTCTGTTACTGCAGCTACTTCAACCTCTTCCATGGTATCAGGATCTAAAGTCAACTTACCGGAGCAAGAGGATCACCAGTAGAGTCCGTTTCTTCATCCCCAGTAAGGGTTTTAAACAATGAGAACAACTCTACTAGAAGAATCCCATCTATACAAGATAATGGCATATCTAAGGTTTACTCAGGGATAGGTAGCCCAAAAAGATCTTCTGATGGTGAACTGGATGGCTCTAGTGATCAATCAGGCACAAGGGATAAGGATCCAACCTCTAATGATTGTCTTAAATCTTCTGAAATCTACAGATCGGCCGAGTCTGGAGTTCTTGATTCTTTGAAAGGGTCCCGTGATTATCAAGATACAGAAAGAACTTGTTTAACTGGTGTTAAGGCCATAGATGGAAAGTATTCCAAAATTGTTAAACAAGATGACATCATTTCTACTGATCCTAGTAAATCAAAAATTTTGATTGGTAATGGAAATATACCTCATCGACTGGAAAAATATCATTTAGAACGGTCTGATAATAACCATGCTTTCGATGAAGACGAACGATGTACATCTGGTCAAAAAAATTCTGTTAAGAGTTCTTTACACGCAAAAGATAAACTGAAAAATTTGATCTTTGATTCTGATAAGGGCAAGCTTAAAGTAATTGGTTCCAGTACTCAGCACAAGGATTTCCACTCCATGAGAACTTGCAACACTGGTCATGCGGATGCTGATTTTCAGAACCTGGATTCATACAAAAAAGATGATTTGGAAAACCATTCTAAGCAGCACAAAAATCATGACTTGAGGGATGCTATTGCAGGTGTAAGCCGAAGAAAACCTACACCACAGCAAAATATGGAGAAGGCATCTTCTCAAGAGAGACAAAACCACTCAGGCCTTTTAACTTCAGAGGCAACTGATCAATTGACAGTGGGTTTTGGGAAAGGGGCGCAGTCATCTAATACAGCTAAAGATGAATTAGAAAAAAAGGTATGGGGTCCCCAAACAGCTCCTGAATATATTAAAGTGACCAATTTAGAACAATATTCTGTTGATGCGGTAAATAGTGAGGTATTAAAGTCAACCAAACCATCAAGAAAGTTTGATGAACAGAATGGAACCCCTCCTAATCTATTGCGGCGATCCACAACTAGTGTGCTGGGGTCATCAAGTCCAACGAAGAAGGATGGCCATCCTAGTGTGAATGCTTTCATTAAAGAGGCTAGAGATTTAAAGCATACTGCTAATCGCTTAAAGGTCTACATTCTTCTTGATGGTGCTCACATAGATATTCAGAGCTAACTAAATCATAACTTTTTCATGTGAATAAATGCTTTTCCCTGCAGAGTTTAGGCTTGGAAGATGAAAGTAGTGGCATTTTTTTTGAGTCTGCCCTGAAATTTCTACATGCTGCTTCTCTTCTGGAGCCTGCCAATGCAGAGAATGCCAGACAAGGGGAGCTGCTTCCATCCAATCAAATGATGCAAATGTATTATGAAACTGCCAAGTTTTGCGAGTAAGTTTTATCAGAAAGTGATATTTTAAATTTTGTCTTTATTTATTGGCCGCATTAAACTGGAGTTGGTGTGCAGATTTTGTAAGTTTACATTGGTAAGAATTTTGCGAGTAAGTTTTATCAGATAGTGGCATTTTAAATTTTGTCTTTATTTATTGGCCGCATTAAACTGGAGTTGGGGTGCAGATTTTGTAAGTTTACCTTGGTAAGAATTTTCAATAAAATCCTTTCAGTTGTTTAATATGTTTGTGCTTTGGCTGCACATGCATTATTTCAATGTATGATTGGCTTACATTTACTCGTTGAAGCTTGGGCTTGCTATTTATAATTTTTTGCTGTTTGATATATTTCGTTGGATCAGTTATGTAGTTTAAAATGAATCTGGATGCCGCCACCATTAGCTTTGTTAAATCCAAGTCTACGTGACTTCTTGATGACTTTATATAACTCGTGGGCATTGGTGTTCAGTGAATTTAGTGAGGGTGTTGGTGTTTCTGGTCTTGCTTAGCGTATCATGTTACGTGAAAACTGTATTTCTTAACATGTGTCTATTAGGGAAAACAGTTTACTTTTTTGTTGAACACATGCGATCATAACAAAGAAATCTATCAAGCATCATAAGAAGGCATTAACAAATTAAAGTGAATAACAAAGAATCTTTCTTTCCCAAATTCCAGTGCTCCCAATCTCATTAGAAAAGAGATACTCCACATCTTTCACTTCAATTAAAATAGAGAATAATGCACATGGAAGATTACACCAACACTTGATTACTCACTTAAAAGTTCCTCAAAAGGTTACCTTTGTACATGACTATGAAATCAATGCAAACTTTTGCCACAATTGTACCTTTAACATGTCAAGATCATACTTTAAGTCCATAGAAATTTTTTTTTCTTCTTTTTTAAGTTTCATTCATTTCTATTTCTCTCTTGTTTCTTAATTTCAGTTTTCTTTCTCTCCATTGGGTTTAAGACCTGTTGGCGGCATACTTGTCAATGGTGAATGGCACGCCACGGTGCAATGTTCCTCATAGAGCCATGGCGCATAGCATAAATGTTTGAGAGAGTTGCTACTTAGCCTTGCCTGTTTTACACTCTTGCAACTTGTATGCTTTTGATGATTTCAAATATTATTGTTTTAATTATTATTTTCTCCTAACACATTTTGGAAGATTTATTTTTGCTCTTGTGTATACTAACATTTCAGGAAAATCATACTCAAGATTGTTGAAGACTTCAAATCAAGATCAGCTTAGAATATTTTGTAAATTGAAGTCTGTATTTTTCATTTTATTGAGTCTGAGAGAGTGTGATTGTAATAGAGTAACTAAGCGCACACACACCTGGGAAAAAGTTTTAAAATTCACATTTTTTCTTAAAAACTGATCGTACAGTACAAAACAGGTTCGTACAGAACAATTTGGTCAGTTATATATTCCCAAAAGAGAAATGGAACGAACAAAGTGCTAAAATTTTTTCTACGTATAGTTCGTCCAGACGATATTTATCGTTCTTCCCAAGACGATCGGCTCTGTTGCTGTTCGTCCAGACGATATTTATTGTACGTCCCAGGACGATCAACTCTGTCGCTATTTGTCCAGATGATATTTATCGTTCTTCTCAGGACGATCAGCTCTATTTACTGTTCGTCCAGACGATATTAATTGTTCGTCCCAGGACGATCGTCTCTGTTCTGAAAGCTTGTAATCCGTCCTGCATTTTCGTACCAACGAAGTTTATAAATAACTGCTCCTATCGGATGAATCATGTTAGTACGGGATGATGATTTGGTATGAAAGGCAGTTCGTACCAATTTACATTGAGTTTGTACGCAACATTTTTATACTGTTCGTACGTATGAATATAGATCATACAGGACGATCGTGGATGCTTAAAAATTGAAAATTACAATTTTTGGACGTTTTTTCGTGTCTTTTCTATAAAAGGTCCACTTAAGACTGTCATGAAATCTTTTTGTCACTTGGTCTTCATGAATATTAAATGGATTTTGAAGGAGAGAGTGAGAGAGTGTGTTTGAAGGAGATTTCTTACTAGTGGAGTGTGAAGGGATCACTTGGTTACTCAGAGGTAAGGATCGCTAGCCGACCCGATATTATGTTTAATGTTTATTTATATACTAGATTTCAATTAGATCTAAAAGAATCACATTTGACAGTAGTGAAAAGGATTTTGAGATATCTCTTGGGAATTTAGAACTTAGGGGTTTAGTATCCTAAGTTTATCTATTTATTTGAAATAATTGGATATTCAGATTCTGACTTTGCAGGTTGTAGGGTTGATAGAAAGAGTACTTCTGGAACATATCAATTTATTTGAAATTCTTCAGTCTCTTGGTCCAGTAGAAAACATAATTCCATAGCTTTATCTAATACTGAAGCTGAATACATTGCCTTAGAAAGTTGTGTGGCACAAGTACTTTGGTTGAAATAACAGTTGATTAATTTAGGATTAACAATAAGCACAATTCTCATTTATTTTGATAACACTAATGGCATTTGTATTTCTAAAAATCCTATTCAAAATTCAAGAACCAAATATACAGACATCAGACATCATTTTATAAGGGATCATGTATCCAAAGGAGAAATTGAACTAAATCATGTTTCAACTGAAAATCAACTTGCAGTTATTTTTACAAAACTACTAGCCTTTGATACTTTCAGCACATCAAGAACAAGACTTGGTGTGATTGATTTGAATGCTTAATTAAAGGTTTCTGCAATAATGATGTATGTTTTTGTAAGTGTGCTTTTATTTTGTGATTTTACTTGTGCGTTTTTCTGTTTTTGTGCATGTTTGTTTGTCTTTTTTTATCTTTTTATTTTTGTGTGTTTTTGAAATATTTTCACATTCAAATTCATGTCTTGTGAGCAATAATACGAAATTTCTAAGTGTGATATTCGTCTGTACGAAATTAATTTCGCACTAGATGAATCCTGTAGCATATCGATCAATTGGGTAGAATAGAATGCATACAGTTTTTTCAGTTTTTAATACAGTTCGTCTGTACGATCTTCATGATCATCTGGACGATGTGTATTCAATCGTATGTACGCATCTAGACGGTTATACGGACAGAAGCAGTTATTATTTCAGATCGTACATACGAACCTGGAATTCGTACATACGAATGTTGGAGAATTTTTGTATCCTCAAACGGATTGCATATTTTGTCATCGAGTACGACATAAGAACATGATATATTATCCCGAAGGGTAAAAATATCATTTCCTTATGGACTCAGTAATAAAATTTACAATTATTAACAGAGATTCCCCCACTCGATGTTTGGTTGAGTGGGGTTTATTTATTTCTGGGTACAGACGTGCCATAGGGGCAAGCCCTTATGGTTAATTACATCCCAAGCTTTAGTGCTTGAGAAAACTTTTGATTAAACTAGTGGTTTTGATTTATTGGAAGTCATTTAGACATTGGCTAAGATTTGCTTTTTGAAATCCATGAAAGTCTTGCTTAAAGGTTTTTCGGCCTTTAGAAATTTCAAGGAGGAATTGATCAACTTAGAATCAGATTTTTGGAGTGAAGTCCAAGGGACTACCGATAGGTAGTGCCTCGAACCTAAATCTAATGAGTGCACAAGGGGCTTACAAACTACACCTCACAAGAGGCATAGCCTGCCCGACCTCTGGATTTATTGTCCCGCCTGGAAAGGGACTACCAGCTAACTCTCATAATCGCTTTTAAAACCATGTCATCCAGTCTCAATGCAAATTTAGAGTGGGGAGGTTGTTTTTATTTAGAATGTAGGGCTTATAACTTGGCTTTGAGGCCAAGATGCCTAATTATGTATGGTATGCAAATGCTGACTCACAAAAAGAAAGATTTTGTTATCTAATCTTTATGTGGAGGCATTCTACACGCCACACACTTTTGGCCATGCATGATTATTTTAAGCTTTTGGAAAACTTGGCCCTTTGAAAGAGAGCCATGCAAATTTTCTTTTATTAGAAAACCATGAAGCCTAATTTCATTTTAGGTTGCTTTCATTTTAAGGGGTAGAAAACTTAGTTTTTATCCTAAGAGCTTAATGTAGTAGAGTCCAAGTCACACCCACAGAAACAAAAGAAGAAACCTAGGAAATACATGCTGTTCTATTGCACACCCGGTAAACAAACAACACATGCTTTTGTATATAAATAAAGACAGAAATGTAAATAATGTCCCAGTTATTACAAACATGTTTGGCAGCTGAGTTGCCTGTCATTATACAACCTAGTTAAATTAATTACAAACTCTACTTGTGGGGTCTTCAAGCTTTACCAAAGTTATTTGGCTTCATCTCCCAAAATGTGTATCTTTTCCATTTCGCTCCCTTCTTTTGCTCCAAACCCCCACAAGTTCACATCATACTTCTAATCAAATACATGATATAAAAAATAGAAAAGACGCAAACCTGCAAGACAGAGTTAAGCAGCAATTTGTATGATAATCATATTATATTCTTAAAAATTGGCCTAGTACTTAGAGTGCTAAATGCTAGGCCCCTGCTTCTACCCTATTGGCCATGCCTCTTGGAGGGTTTTAAGCAGCGCCTGCAAGCAAACAACATTTTGATAATCATGATTTAATTTACCCCCTCTTGGACATGGCCACATGCACAGAAAAGCATGTATTTTTCTATACTAACCACTTAAGGGCAGGTGCCAACACGTAGATAATCCAAGGGAAATCACTCCACAACTTCAATCACATGCGCACACAAAGAAAAATCATAATCCTAGCATGCCTAAGGGGTTGTGCACCTAAGTGTGTGTGGTATGTCACACTAAGGGTCCTCATAGAGTTTGGGTCTAAGGAAGAAGTGCCCAACATGCGACTTTTGAGCTTTATGTTGAGGGAAATTCTCCTTAGCTTTTGGAGCTAAGAAGAAAAGTAGTAATCCGACATCTAGCTTTTGAGCTAAAGGTTGGAGGATTCTCTCTAGCTTTTGGAGCTAAAGAGAAAGGAAATCTTCTACAA